GCTCCACAAATGACGGTTTTGTTTGATTCATTTGAATATATTTCATTACTAACCTTAAATTTGTAATTAGTGTTTAAAAAGAATTGCCTTAAATAATCTTTTTCCATCATTAGTTAGAGCTTTTCCCAACATAAAGCTTATTTACACGATTTCATCATGAGCTGACATTGGTTAAAGAACCATTGAAAAACCAGCTGGGAGTATTGGACAACTGTTTCGTCCTAGTTTGGGACGGGGTTCGAACCCAGGACCATGAATTCTATCTTCTGCCAATTCACGACATAGAGCGACCCCTAGCCAATGTCTTCGGCTAGTATTTGTCCTCACACACGACCTGCTGCTCCCTACTGGTCATGACCTCCCACTAGCACCCCAGGTACTTGAATAAAGCTTATTGATAAATGTATTCTGGGAAATTTGAACTTTGTGGAGGATTTATGCATAAAATATCACACAAGACGTATGAATCTATAGATGAAAGCTGGAAAGTTATATTAGGAGAGAAAGGCAGAAAAAATGCGACTTCAAATACACCTATAGAAGTGATGAGAAGGTGATGTATATATCGAACTAACAACAATAAGCAGCATCAGTTACTATCGACAGGAGCAATTTAAAGGAGCTCAATGTTTTAACAACAGGCAGCATGAATGAAGAAGGCTAGAGAGACTTTCACTACTTGGAAATTGTCCTGAAAATCTGCTGCAATCGGTGTAAGGAATCATCTTCAGATTTTCAACGTTAATCTCATATTAGTCAGTGCTTCTATTCAATTCCGGAGACTTAGCACATCATGAAAAGCAATCCTAATAGATCACTGAAGACATTCATTAACAGATGTCTTTACTAGTTCCATACTGAAGATCAGATAATCAACCAAAAAAGGATTAGCAACGGTGAACTCTGCTAGGCAAAGAACCAACCAGAGTTACCTATAGTAACCAAAATTATTCACATCGTAATATGTGACGTGGTTGATACCAACAATGACAATGGAGAAAGCATTCATGAATTCCTCGCGCTATATACTACTGAATAATTTATATCAGTAGTAGGATAGTATGATGCATTCGTGCTTGCTTTGTTGGTTGTTATTTTGATCAGGCGGAATTTCATCTCGCTCGAATTGTGTAAAATGAAAACCGCGAATTCATTTGTCAATTGCAAAGTTGACTTGTAACAGAGGATGGCAAGACACAGAAAATGAGTTACGCAAATTGTTATTTCTATGTATAAAGAATATTCAATTCCGATTCAACAATCAGCTGTACCGGCAGATTGACGGGGTGGCTATGGGTTCACCTCTGGGTCCTCTTCTTGCTGACATATTCATGGCTCATCTTGAACAGACTCAAATGAAAGAAGAAATAGAAAGAACCACCTATTACTGCAGATATGTCGATGACACGTTTGTGGTCTGCAATGATATAGAACACGCGTCCACAATGTTTGAGAAACTCAACGCGGCCCATCCCAACATCGCACTCACAAGTGACTACGAAAGAAACAACCAGTTCCATTTCCTAGATGTCAACATAAAAAGAAGAAACGATGGGACAATTCAAAAACCTGTCTACAGGAAAGAAACTTGGACTGGTCAATACCTACATTATCATAGCTTTTGCCCAACCAGTTACAAACGATGTCTAGTAAAAACGCTCTTCAGCAGAGCCAAAGAAATATGTTCAGAAGACAAGATTGAAGAAGAAATTGAGATCATCGAAAAGAACCTTATCGAAAATGGATATCCTCGAAAGTTCATATTAAAGTATAGAAATGAAGAAGCACACAAACCGAAACCTGACACCGTTGAAAAGAAACCAGTTTTCATCTGTTTAGCGTACAAAGGGGAAGACGTATCCACAAGAACACAAAAAAGAATCACAGGTGCATTAAAAAGAACGTTTCTAGCCGCCAGACTGACCCTATTTCACAACACTGTGTGCTCGTTAACCCATTCAAAAGTAGATGAGTACCCTACTCACGTCAACTCCAACTGCATTTACCAATTCACGTGCACTTGCCGAAGCAAGTACATAGGAAGGACTGAGAGGACAGCATCTACTAGATTTTCTGAGCACATTCTTAAGAGTCTCCGTACAAAAGGAAGGAAATTGTTATCGAGTGCAATCGCCAGACATTTAGTTGACACAGGACACACAGTAGAAATTAGCCAAGCCTTCAAAATAATCAATACACAAAGAAACCCACGGCTACTTCGCTTCGCAGAAGCCATTGCTATCAAGAGATTTCGACCAGACCTTTGTATACAGAAAGATAGTGTGATTAATCTTTCACTACCTTGGTAACCCTAACTCTATTTATTTTATTTTTGTGTTTGCCTTTCTGTCAGTATGCCTGTGTGTTTGTCTTGTTACGTAACATTCTTTTCAATTTTGACCTTCAAGTTTCTAAATCTACTTAAATCCCTACAAAACCAATACTTGCAAATTAATCTGATGCTCACTAGTGACTGGCCCTATTCAGGCAGTTAACCTGGGGTTCTAGTGGGAAGCCGTGACCAGTAGGGTACAGCAGGTTGAAGATGAGGACAGTTACTCATCGAAGAAGACATTGCGAAATGGTCGCGCTATGTCGTGAATTGGCAGAAGTTAGAATTCAAGGACCATTGGATCGGGTCTCAGTGGCTCAATGGTCTACGAGCTCGCCTCGTAACCAGAAGGTCCTGGGTTCGAATCCCGGTGGGCGCGTACTGATGAAGAGTCCCAAACTAGGACGAAACAGCTGTCCAGTACTCCCAGCTGGTTTTCCAGTGGTTCTCTAGCTGATGTCAGCTCATGATGAAATCCTCCATGCAATCTACTTAATTGTTTGTCTGTTTAAGTTATAAATGTTACTTCACTATTCACCCCCACCCTCTTAAACTCTCCACCACAAGATGTGTAAATTTACTTTGTTCTCTGACCCTGACCCTGTAATATGCCTCTAACCAATCTGTGTTGTTGTTGTTTTCCAATAGAAATCTGAACTCTTACCCCTCTTATCCAATTCCACTATATATAATTAGTTGTTTTTTGACACCGAATAATCTGTCTACCTACATCAAATTCTGGAATTATGTTCCTTATACCTTCTCTCTGTAACTCCAAGTAATTATGAAAAAGTATGTTCCACAACTTTCTTGAAACCTATAATTTGATTTTGTTTAGGATGTATGCAGTTGATGAGAATCCACGAAATAAAACGAGCTCGTATTATCCTGCAAACATGTTCGTTCTTTCTCTCTTCAAGGTATATTTTCTTCAAGTGACCAAACAGCTATTTATATCTGTCTATACAGTTTATATTCTTTAACCAATCACTGAGTGTGTGATTTTGGTTAACATTAGGTGACATGAAACATAATGTGCAAATATATATATATATATATATATAGTACCCTGTTGCTAATGCTGTATTGAACTGTGGTAAAGGGGGGATCAGTCGCATACCACTTATTCAAATAGTTATTTTCTAATTAAATGTATGCCAAGAGAAATATTTAACACACACTTACACTGTTAGCATAAAAGAGACTCAAAAGTTAATAATAAGGGAATTGTGCTCAGAAGTTACGCTTATTTGTCTTACAAAGGTTCAAGTTAATTTTTCAACAACAAAAAATGGATACTTTTAAGAAGATGCTACGCTAAACAAGACAAGAGATAGAAAAACTGATGATAAGTGACTGGTGACTTACGTGATAATCATGGTGAGTTCGACTCAATAATCCATCAAAGTGGAATCGATTAAAGCGAAAGGTTGTGTAATCAAATAAAGGGAACAGCAAGGTTATTGCTTTACCAAGGCGAAAAAATACATATGACTGCTTCTTACTGGACATGTAAATCAAGTTTTACACGTATGATAGCTACTAACTAAGCAAACCTGAGAAGAATTGATTTCTCTTGTCTACTGATGTCACTTGTTAGGCCCTGGATTGGAAATCTAAGGGAAAACGACGAATTGACATGGAGGAGATCATGTGAATGGCAGACAAGAGCCTATGGGCAAACGTGGAGCCGGTTAAAGAGGATTGTGGAGGATAAGATAAAATAGAGATGTGCCTCCGAAGCCCTGTTTTCCACTCGGAACCCATGGGAATAATAAATATCGATTATTTTAAATGGCTTTAAGATATCTATTTCATGATGCGTATCAACTAGAGGCCTGAAAGTTTCACTGTTGGGACTATTCTTTTTCTGGAGACTTACATTTTTAGGCACGCAGGTGCATACTTCTTTCTGTTCTTCCAGTGTATCTGCTACTGAGGATACATGTAAGTTTGTATGACCAGTTACAGTTAGCATAGGAATAGTATTTGTCTACCTTTCACCGTAGTAAACAGTATGTTGCCTGATACACTGGAACAAACTTGGACAGGTTGTATATAAGGATCTGATTAAATTCCTTCAGAATGCATAGCTTGATGAACGTATCTGAGTGTGTCTCTTTCAATTTATGATTTTTTTCACTTCTCCATTCCTGTTGATAAATGCTTTATTTTTGGTGGCTAGACTTGATAGAAAGTTGGGGATCGAACGCCGAACCACATGCGTGGTTGGCGGCGAATATTCTAGCACTGAACCACACCAGCACAAAACCTTCACTTCAAGTAAAGTTCTGTCAGTACATATTTCATCAAAGCATCAATTGTTCTGTCTTTCTCCAACAATGCTTATTTGAGTAACTTCATTCGTCGATAAAATCATATGACAGTATTCATATTCTGGTTACTAAATAATTTACTTCCAACAGTAAAGTATGGGAAAGAAAGGTGATTTTATATAAGAACAACTTGTGCGCCTACATATTATACATTTGATTATTCTTGCTTATTTTTAGTACTGTCAGTCTCTCCTTCCAATTATCACTATGAAAAACAAAAGAAGAATATTATTTAGCTTCATTCACGTGGAACTTTGTCTTGTAGATTGCTTAATTTTCTGATGATAAACAGAAAAAATAATTTGAGCAATGGTTTATGCGCATTAACTAACCTAATTTAGAATAAAAACAATTGTTTCTATCGCAGCGTACAACATCCTTCTTCACAGATTCTAAAGCATGAGCAAACTGTTTCATAATAGACTCCTGAAAAATAAAACATAAAAAGATAAAGCGAAAACGTAATTAGCTTAGCTTATTCTTATTTTACAAAATACATTTATTTTTATTTTCAGATTTATGTTAGAAAGATCAATGAAAACCACAGCATACTGGACAGCCTGCCAACCATCTAATATCATCACAAACAATGTACACCGTGATGGCGAGCTACCTAGTAGAATGGTGGCCACATTGCAAATACCTGACTGATAGAATTCAGTCTGCACCAAAGAAAGGACTAGACACGTCACACTAGTTACTGACTAGTGTTCAATCAAAATACCCACTACAATCCTACAGGAGGTCAACCGCGAGCTCGAATATTTCATTGGTAGCGCCTCTGACTGCAGCACTAAGTGACGTGGGTTCGAATCTCAGATGAGGGACATGAGTTCCTTCAAGGCGGCTGCAGATACGCTTTGCTTCAACTAGCACGAAACCTAGGTCAAGCAAGGCTTCGTGTGGCCGATTGCCTCCAACCATCTAATAGCTCTTTTATATCAATTTTAGACCTTTTATCAATGCGCATCTATGACACCACCAGGGGTCGGACTCAGGATTAAGCCAATTGACTATTTGCCTACTTGAGCTGGAGTTTAGTGACCTCTGAATTCTAGTTTTGTTGACTGGTGCTATAGCTCTGCTGATGTCACCACTGTCTCTTTGATGAGCGTCCACTTCATCTTGACTCCACTGGCTCCACGGGTCACAACCACTTCCTACGGTGGCTTTAGAGAATTCATCCAGTAGTCATCAGTGAACTGGTGATTGATCTTACAAAATGATGTTGGTTGGCGAAAGGAAATCTAACAACTGAAATTTATCCGAAATCTTCATAAATCTTAAAGTAAATTTGCTTTTGTTTTATAACACGTGCATGAATTCATCGATTTTGAAAAGGTCTTCGACAGTCTTGACTACGAAGAAATTTGGAAACTACTTAAACGCTATGAAGTGCGCTGCTCGAATCTTTACCAGCCTCATTCAATAGCTATATGACAGTGGCATGGATCAGATGATGCACAACACATAACTTAACAAAGATTTGAAGTAAGCATGGGACTTAAACAAGACCGCCTATCATCACCATTAATACCCCTAACTGTGTTGGATTGGATTATGCGTCAGACTGTGAGTTTGGAGTGAGAAGACAGGAGTATGTTGGACCAATAAGAGGATTTCGCGGATGATTCATGCTTGATATCACGCAAAATTGAAGAATTACCGGCGAAAATTGACAAAATGGCAGAAGAAGCAGCCAGTGAAGACAGGGCTTAAAGTAAATACAGAGAAGACGGAGGGGATGAAAATAACTAACCAACCAACAATAAGCATCAATCAAGATGAACGGACAAATTTTGAAGTAGGTCACTTCCTTGATTTATCCGGTAGGGTAGCATCGTTTCAAGTACAGGCGACAGCTCGGATAAGTATATGAAAACCAGAATTGGAAAGGCAAGATAGACCTTCGTTGATGTTAAATCAGTTTGGGAATATTCTGCACTCAGCATGCAATAGGGAGGAAATTTTGATTTTCAAGTCAGTTCTTCCATGTGGTTTTGAGAATTGGCGCGCCACGGATAATTTTACCGATAGACCATTGAGGACTTTTATCAACAGTCGTCTTTTCTAGCTCCCTACTGAAGGTCGAATGGTCAGAAATAGTTAATACCAATCAATTCTAGGCACGTGACAGTCAAGAACCTATTGCTTAACAAATATGTAGGAGAAAATCGAGATGGATCGGGCATATGTTGAGGAGACTGTCATATAAAATCACGTACCAACCTGTCGAGTGGAACCGGAATGGAAATCAAGTAAGGTATGCGACCGAGGGTGACAGACAGGAAATCGTGAGAGGAGGAAATGAGAAACTATAAAAAATCTTAGAACCAACTAAAGAGGATCGCAGAAAATAGGAGAAATCGAAGATATGCTGTTGAAGCTGTATTTTCCATTTGGAGCCCAATAGAACAACAATAATAGTATAACATGATTGTTGTAACCGTAGCCGAACTAAATGAGGACGTTGTCGCCTTGTTCTGTCTGCGCCTGACTAATATGCCTATCTGCTTCTGGTACCTTCCGATTCAGCGAACCACGCAAATATCAAAAGACAAAAGCTGGTCTCTAACTGTATATTGTAGTACAACAACTACGACAAACTACGACTACGACAAAGAAACTTATTTAGGAAATGGTATTTATACATTTTTACAACCAATACAGACAGCTAACAGTATTTGAAATAATTGGTCGTGATAGTCAATAACAAAATGTGTGGGAAATGATGATATACCATTTATGCGAGATTAACAGCCGTTGAAATAATTGAACAATAACAAAGTGCGTGGGATCCTATCAATGATACAGAAAGTTCTCCAGATGATCCGTAAAAATTGTTACAGAGCGTGAGATTTGCAGTTTTATGCGGATACTAACAGTTAAGAGCAAAGAATAAAGTTAGTGAAGCAGTTAATCTGCAAAGAACACCAAGATATTGTACTGGTTTTTATTGAGCATAAGATGATTCCACCAAATCCACTAAGTTCATGTATTTTGAAGTTTCTTTTGCTTTATTATTATTACTACTTTGTTTTGCATCTATTAGAACAATACAAGTGTCATCGTTCCTCACGTCTCACCAATACTAAGCATCAGTTAAACTTCCTGTTAAAAGTAGCATGACATTAGTGTAAGCTAATAAATAATATTAAATTAGTAGAAGTCAAGGCAGAGTATATTGTCTGACCCAAATATTTGCCACTCATCAGTTCATAATAACAATGTTCCGAGTGGAATACAGGGCTTCAACAGCACAACTCCATTTCATCCTGTCCTCTGCAGTCCTCTCTAGCTGGCTCCACGAATGCCCATAAGCTCTTATCTCTTCTTCACACAATTTCTTCCATCTCACTCTCTCCACAATCATGACAGTGATGTTCCTAAATTGTTGAGAATAAAATACACTTAACCTTCTCATATAGTTTACCTTTGACGACTTTAATTATAAACGCATGCATACATAATCAACCAACTTATAATACAGTGTTTATCTACGCTTCTTCCTTGATATATGTTAGTATACTTAATGAAATAAAACCGACTTAATCTTATCAGTGTTAAGTCACACACACACAATTGAATTTTGTACTTAATACCTTGGAATTTTCTGAGATTAGAAAGAAATTCTATTTAAATGACAGTAAGAGGTAACCCTTTTTTTTGTTTTAGGCCGGATTGTTTTTGCAGGTCAAGTGAAAGTGAACTGTAATAAATGGAAATTTAGATTTGTAGGATATGTGAGGATTTTGGATTGATTATAATTGTTGGATTTTACAGGAGGTGTACCAACATATCAGTAACAGAGATCATCTGAAACTAGGGAGCACTGAACAGCCGCTTCATCCTATTACGGGACTCCTCAGCACTGTGCACTCACGATCCCTACAGGGGTCGAACCCGGGATCTTCAGGTGTGGGAATTGGACTCCATCCAAAATGACGGAATGGTCAACTAGCTTGGTCTCGAAACTTGAAGGTCTCGCGCTCGATCCTTGGCGGAATTGTGAGCGCTCAACAGTTCCGGACTAGGATGAAACAAATGTACAATGCCCTTTGGTTTCCAATGATCTCTCTAACTGATGTTAGTTTGTGACGAAAATGTAACAATTTGAATAAATTGAAAAACACAACAATAATATTGTTTTTATTCTAGAACCAATCACCATCAATGGGAGAGATCTGAAAGAGGTTACTTCTGTCACTTATCTGGGAAGGACGGTGTCAGCCACAGGTGGTACGGATGAAGATATCGAAACTAGGAACGAAAGGGCAAGATACGCCTTCATCAACATGAAACCAGTTTGAAAATCTTCTGCAATCTGCTGCATAAAGAACAAGGTTCGGATTTTCAACTTAAATATGAATTCAGTCAGTTAGCGCTTCTATACTGGCCAGAAACTTGCACTGCGTGCCACGAAAAAGATTTCCAACAAGCCACTACAGACTTTTATCAACAGCTGTCTTCGCTGGCTCTAAACCGAAGATTAAATTGTCAGTTGGCCAGGAGGAATTAGCAACAAGAAACTCTGCAGTGGAACAAACCAACAGGTGACAGCCGACTGCTAAAGAAATATGTACAAGAAAATAGAGACAGCTAGGGAAAAATACTGAAAAGACCGTTGAATGACATCGCGCGCTTTGCAGGCCACTACTCTCAATGGGAAATGACGAGTGGGTCGGCGGTGCGAGAGTGACACAGAGGAGGTTGTGTGGCGAGGAAGAGATAAAAGATTATGGTCAATCGTAGATCCATATGAAGAAGATAGCAGACAATAGAACAAAGTGGAGATGTGTTGTTGAAGCCCTATGTTCTACTCAGAATTCAAGGGAATAATGTGTATATTATTCTAGAAATTATCTTGAAATACAATACAGAATTCTTAGAGTAATTTTTCGAGAAAAGTTTATCCTCACATAAAAATTTCAAGTAAAAGTCATTCTATCTCAAACAAAACTCAATCCTTTACAATATTTTCATTTCATTTTCCTCTTGCAATACAAATTGGAGGGCTGGAAGTTAATTCACAATTTTTGTGAGTTTATGTCGCGGTCAAACTATTTAATTGGAAGACTGAAACAACAGGTGACGGAGAAAAGTGAACGGACGAGGATGTCAAATCGAGAAATCGGGAAGGCGAGAAACACATTCATCAACCTGAAACCAATCTGGAAATCTTTGTCACTCAGCATCAACAACAAAATGATTCGGATTTTCAATACAAACTTCAAGTCAGTTCTCCTATACGGATGGATCAGAAACTTGGCCAGCGGGTCACAAAGAATATTTCCAATAGCCTGTTGCAGACCTTTATCAACAACAACTGTCTTCGCTGGCTCTATACTGAAGATCAGATGACTGGAAAGAATCACGAACAAGAATCTATGGGAACAAACGAAATAAGAACCAATCGCTCAACAAATATGCAGGAGAAAGTATAGATGGATTGGACACTCGCTGAGGAGGCCGCTGGGTGACATCGCGCTTCAGGCCAGTGCTCGAGTGGAACCCGAAAGGGAAGCGACGAGTGGGACGTCAGTGCAAGGGTGACATGGAGGAGATCGTGTGAAGAGGAGTTGAAACAGCATGGATTAACATAGATGCAGGTGAAAATTACAGCAGAAAACAGAAACAAGTGTAGACGTGTAGTTGAAGCCCTATGTTCCACTAGGAACCCAAGGGAACAATAATAATGATAATAATTTTGCTGTTTGAGAACGTGGGTAACACAGCGGTTTAATCCAGCTGCCGGAAACTGTGATGTAATCATAAAAGAAAGTTAAAGTATAAAGCCTAAAAGAAAGGTATACATGCTCTGCGGTGTTTAAAAGGATGGATGCTGACTTTGAGTTTCCATGAGAAAGCTATCTCACTCACTGGCAATGCAGACATATCCATATGTCATCTCAAATGACACGAAACGCGTGTCCTAGACTTCACTGCTGCTAACCATCAAACAAGCAATATTTTCCCACCAGTATTTTGTTCCCTTGGGTTCCTAGTGGAACATAGGGCTTCAACTGCACGTCTCTACTTGCTTCTATCTTCTCCTGTACTTTTCACCTGCATCCATGTTAGTCCATACTGCTTCAACTCCTCTTCACACGATCTCCTCCATGTCACCCTTGCACTGACGTCCCACTCGCCGTTTCCCTCTCGGGTTCCACTCAAGGGCCTGACTCGCAATGTCACCCAGTGGCCTCCTCAGCGAATGACCAATCCATCTCCACTTTCTCCTGCATGTTTGTTGGGTGATTGGTTCTTGTTTTGTTTGTTCCCATAGTTTCTTGTTGGTGATTCTTTCCGGCCGGCCATCTGATCTTGAGTATAGGGCGAAGAGAGTTGTTGATGAATGTCTGCAACAGGCTGTTGGAAATATTCTTTGTGACCCGCTGGCCAAGTTTCTGATCCGTAGAGAACAACTGACTTGACGTTTGTATTGAAAATCCGAATCATTTTGTTGTTGATGCTGAGTGACAAAGATTTCCAGATTGGTTTCAGGTTGATGAATGTGTTTCTCGCCTTCCCGATTCTCGATTTGACATCCTCGTCCGTTCCTCCAGTAGTTGAGACAATGCTCCCTACCTAGATAAGTGAATGAAGTGACCTCTTTCAAATCCCTTCCGTTGATGGTGATTGGCGCTGGATGTCGCTGCTGCTGTTGTTGTTGTTGCTGTTGTTGGTTATTTTCATAACCTCCGTCTTGTCTATGTTCACATGGAGTCCTGTCTTCTCTGGCTGCTTCTTCAACCAGTTTGTCGGTTTCCGCTTGTAAGTCTTCGATTTTGTGTGACATCAAACATAAATCATCCGCGAAATCCAGGTCTTCTAGATTCTTCACGTCTGTCCAGTCTCACCAACATCTATTCATTATTGCTGTTTCTAGTTTGGTTCAACAAGCAGATAAGCTCGCAAACCCATAAAAATTATAAATATTTGTTTGCCCAGAACACAACTTCAAAAAGACAACTGTCGCCCTTAAGTGTATTGCCATTTTCATCCCCTCACTTGTTAGTGAAAATTCGTCAGAGTCGATACATGAACAGACAACCTTTAATTACAAGTGAAATGCTCAACTTATAATAAATTTTAAAAACTTAATAAATTTTCAAATTTCAAGGTAATAGGCAACACAAGTTTACAATTCTCACATTATAATCTGAAAAATTTTCAGATGAATCCTTTTCAAGTTGACACTCGGAAGATTGAGAGATTGTAGATGGGTTAGTTGTACATTTTTCTTCCGTTCTAAGAATAATCTCCTCCAATTTCATCCATTCTTTCAATTTGGTATTGTAATGTTCACGAAGTTGTTGATCAATTTGATTTTTTTCAGTTTCATTCATTGACCAGTTATAGACACCTAATAGATATGGCCATACCTGAATTTCAAATTAAAATATATGTCAGTAAAAATATGCATTAAAACAAAGTGGTGTATAGAAATTGAATTGGTGACGATTATACAGCATGCTGATATTAACCGACGGTAACAATTACTCAGAGGACGTGTACACTTTTATCTCTGATTAATCTTTAATTGAAACAATTAAACCGCCCAATATTTTCGAATTCAACCGCCATTGAATGACATTGGTTTGAGGTAGTTAAAACGAAAGTTTCAGATAATTCTTCCTTTTCTAAATCATCACATTGAGTCTTGAAGATAGAGAAAAAGCTACTGACTAGCTAATTTGATGAAATTAGTTAAACAGTGAAGATTTACTTATTTTTATGGCAGGCAAGTTAATATTTACACCATCCTTCTGAAATGAACCTCAGAGATCGTCTGTTTACAAATCAGACTGCCAACTGGGAATTCTAAAGTGTAACCGAATCTTTCTCGTTAACTTTCTTCATTGTTCCATTCTATTTAAACATCTATCAGTGAACCTAATCAACATTAGTATGAAGATATGACAGATTATGAGCCTTGAAGAAACTCCGCCATGGAAAACACTTCCATTTTTCAGATGTTGCGGAGATTTTGACCAATTTCAGTAGAGATTTTGCTAGGAAGATACATCTGAGGGAGCCTCAGTGATATCCAAGGAGCATTGGACAGTTGAACATGGTCGACTTAGTTGGCCAAGATCGTTTGTTTTCATTTTCGTCAACATTAAAACTAACATTTGTTTCAAGTTTGCCCACAGATTGATGTCAATTAGACGACCACTGAAAGCCATGGATTACTGGACATCTGTCTCGTCCTAGTTTGGGAATCTTCATCAGTATGTACCCACGATCCCACCTGGGGTCGAACCCAGGACGTTTAGGACACGAGGTCATGGGCGTTGAACATTCAGTCACTTTTGGCCAATGACCTATGAATTCTGACTTGTATCAACGAGCTTGCTCGTGTAGTCTGAAGGTGAGTAGTGGTGCAGAGAGTTCCAAATTAGGATGAAGCAGCTGTCCAGTACTCCTCAGTTTTCTGTGCTTCTCTGAGATTAAATCCCTTCATGATCAAATTGAGAATATATTTAATAATAAATATTAAATTCTCAGTTTAGAGAGTAAATTTGTCAACGTTGTAGTCAATTTTTAAGATGCAACTTGCTGATATTACGTCATCACAAGTGAATATCTTATCGGGACTAGAAAATGGTATCCTTCTTTTTGGACGCCTGAGATTTATTCATCTGTTACCGACCAACTTTCCATGGAGAAATAATATTTCAGAAAAACCGATACGGTTTGACATTTATGCCAAAAATCTCAAAAACTCAGCAGGGATAGAAAATGACAACAAAACTTTAGCCGTAATTTTACACATTTAAACATCAGATTGGACAACGTTAAAAATATAGTTCAAAATTCGTACAGAAATTATTTAAAAGAAAGTGGCTTTCTGTCAAGTCTAGTCACCGAAAATAAAGCATTTATCAACAGGAATAGAGAAATGCGACAAATCCATAAATTGAAAGAGACACACTCAGCTGCATTCATCAAGCTGTGTATTTTAAAGAAATTTAATCAGATCGTTATATACAACCTGTCCAAGTTTGTTCCAGTGTATCAGGCAACATACTGTTTACTACGGTGAAAGGTAGACGAATACTATTCCTATGCTAACTGTACCTGGTTATACAAACTTATATATATCCGCAGAAGCAGATACACTAGGAGAAAAGGAAGAAGTACGCATCCGCGTGCCTAAAAACGTAAATCTCAAGAAAATGAATAGTTCCAACAATGAAACTCCCAGGCCTCTAGTTGATACGCATCATGAAGTAGATATCTTGAAGCCTTTTTAAATAATCGATATTTATTATTCTCTTAGATTCTGAGTGGAAAACAGGACTTCGCCAGCGCATGTCTATTTTATCTTATCCCCTAAAATCCTCTTTACCCCGTCCCACGATTGCCCATAAGCTTTCATCCCCCATTCACATGATCTCCTCAATGTCAACTCGTCGTTTTCTCTTAGATTTCCAATTCAGGGCCTAACAAGTGACGTCAGTAGACAAGACAAATCAATTCTTCTCAGGTTTGCTAAGTCAGTAGCTATCATACGTGTAAAACTTGATATACATGTCCAGTAAGAGGCAGTCATATGTGTTTCTTTCGCCTTGGTGACGCAATCACCTGGCTCTTCCATTTATTCGATTACACAACCTTTCGGTTTAATCTCTTCCACTTTTATGTATTATTGATTGATTTTATCTGAGTCGAACTCACCATGATTATCACACAACTCACTAGTCACTTATCATCAACTTATCCATCTCTTGCCTTGTTTAGCGTAGCGTCTTCTTCATAGTATCCACTTTTTGTTGTTGAACCCTTGGAAGTCAAATAAATGTAACTTCTGAGCACAATTCCCTTGTTATTAACTTTTGAGTCTCTTGTATGCTAACACTGTAAGTGTATGCTAAATATTTCTCTTGACATACATTTAATTAAAAAAATAACAATTTGAATATAAGTAGTATGCGACTGACAGGAAACTGACAACATAAACTGAAATCGTGGTTTTCGCCTTATTCAAAAAAGGAACAGGTGCGTGGAATTTTTCCACAGTTAAGTTACAAAACCTGCGGAATTCGCCCTACCATTCTCTAGCTAGATGGTTAGTAAATATTCTCAAACCTTTCCATGAGAAGATAGTGAAATATAGCATCAAAGATGCTTTTGAATTCGTAGACAAAATAAAAGATGATATTAATATCTAGGACAAAACCATAATATCTCTGGACATAACATCGTTATTCACAAATGTACGTCTAACAGAAACAGTTAACTACATATGTGGATAAGTGGACAACCAGTCGATAAACAGTGGAATCCATATTGAAATTCTAAAAGAATTGATATTAAGATGTACCATGAATGTAAATTTCAAATTTGACGGCAAGCTTTATAGGTAAGTGAATGGGGTGACGATGGGCTCCCCATTGGGTCCCATTTTGACTGATTTCTTTCTAAGTAAGCTAGAAAATGGACCTTTGAATAACCTTATCAGTAAGCTCTCATTTTATTGCCGGTATATGGATGATACCTTCATTCTTTGTGATAATGGTTCTGATAAGAGTACAATAATTACTGAATTCAATGAAGTACATTCGGCTATGAAATTCACATGCGAAGAGAAATCCCAAGACAGAATTGCCTTCCTGGATGTCCTACTTACAAGAAAACCAGACGGTAGCATAAAAAGAAATTTGCATAGAAAAAGCACTTGGGCAGGACAATACACACATTTTCACAGCTTCGTTCCTATCAAGTACAAAAGAAATTTAGTGAAAACCCTCAGCCACAGAGTTAGAGCTATATGCTCAGAAGAAGTAATTGAAGGTGAATTAAGCATGGTATATGATACTTTAATCGAAAATGGTTATCCTGACAAATTTATCAAGAAACATATGACAAAGAAAGCCGAAAAGGACTACCCGTTATCTGTAAACAAGAAGCCACTTTATATACGACTACAATTCATGGGCGATATACCAAGTGAAATAATTACGAGGAAATTAACAAAACCAGTTCAAAGAACTTTTAATGCTGGCGAACTACGCCTATTATTCTCTTCACGACCGATGGTGCTACCTCGATTGAAAGATGAAGTACGTAGACTAGCCACTTCAAATTGTTCTATAGTTTGGTTTGTAAGGATTAGTTATGTTTTACGAGTTGATCACGGACTGATATCAGTTAGAGAACCATTGAAAACCAGGGAGTACTGGACAGCTGCTGTTTCATCCTAGTTTGGGAATCATTGGCAGTACGCACCCACTGGGATTCGAACCCAGGACCTTCCGGTTACAAGGCAAGCTCGTATACCATTCAGCCACTGGGACCCGATTCAATGGCTCATGAATTCTAACTTCTACCAATTCGTGATTTTAGCGCGACCCCAACTATTGTCGTTGGTGGAAATCCATCCACACGTGACTTCTAATTGGACCTCACTGGTCACGACTTCTCACTAGAACTGCAGGAAGCTCCAACCTGTAGCAAGTCATTAGCGAGCAGGTCCTGGGTTCGAATCCCAGTGGGTGCGTACTGCCGATGATTCCCAAACTAGGATGAAACAGCAGCTGTCCAGTACTTCAAATTGTATCTACCAGTTCAGATGCGCTTGTGGTGGAACGAGTTATATTGGCCGTTGCTCTAGGAACTTGATTTTTCGTGCTCTCTCGAGAACATCTCCCACTATGGCTAAATAAAGGTGTAGTGAAAACCATTAACAGTTCGATATTGGACCATCTGGTGCAAACTGCCCGGCCACAAAGCCAGCCAGCATTGAAGAATACTTCTCTATAATCTCCGGGGTGCGTAATAAATTACCTAAATCATCGAAGCACCGCATACTCCAAACAGCAGAGGCTATTGCGATTCGCCTCAAACAACCGGTGCTCTGTGTTCAAAAGAAGCAAGTCCAGCCCCTACTACTCCTCGGGCCGACTTTCAGTAGAGACTATAAACTCATGAATTTGTAATATTATCTTTCATAATTCTTCTGACATTCAGCTTATTTTTTGTTGATGCTACTGAGCTGTAATCTATCAATATTATTGATTCGATGTTATTTAAACAACAACATTAATGTTGTTCATAACACTCATTCATTCATTCATTCACTATAATGTATATATAACTGTAGAGCCTGATGATGAAGGCGTTATCGAAAAGAGTAATCTTTGTTTAGAATCCATTCTTTTGAAAAAACAACAACTTTAAAACAACGTAAAATTTATGCCACTGAATCATGCTGTGAAATGCAATCAAAAGATTTAACTATTTATTCTAAATTGTAGTGGCAATTAATCATCATTTGAATGATAAATGGGCTAGTGTTGAATTAGTCAACTTAATGTTGACGTCATTCACAAAAGTGTAATAAAGCGACTTCAATTTAAAATGAATATCAATCACTAAATTAGTTCTTTATTCTTCTGTGGAATATACTCTCACAGCCTTGTGGAAAACACATGGGTATTTGAAATCATTGTCTCAGAGTCCGAACCCCTGTGTGAACAACACCACGCCAGCTAACGAGCCCCATATTGGACGAAACGCGCCTTGCAGATCTTACCGATAGTCACAATCAACCAAAATAAAAACACAGTTCGGAAAGACAGTTCGATATGAGTTTCTGCATATACTCATTCACATGCTCCTGTGGAGCTGATTACATTGGACGTTGTAAGCGTAATCTCTGTAAACGCGTAGCTGAACACACTACTCGGTTTGGTTAGTGAAAGGTGAACTATAGGACGACAAAGTCTTCAATCTGTGAACACCTTCTGGAATCAGGTCATTCAGCCCCATGTAATTTATCCTTTCAAATCATCTACAGGACCAAATCCACTCTAAAATCCCACGTCTTCTCCACTTATGCACAGCCAAAGCTATAGTTATACATGGACAAAAACTTAAATTATGTATTCAAAAGCGGCTAAGCCAGTGGAAACCTGCTTCTATGAATTCAAGGATCTTATATAAGAAGGGGATGAGTTAAAAGAGCAGCTAAAAAATTCAATTTTAAACTGACTATACGATGATTTTTTAAATAATCGTTTGTACAAACCATGTTTAGTCATAAGATCCTGAAATATATAGACACCGTTTCCAATTCACACAGATAATCTTTTACATAAAATTGGATAAGAAAACGCCCAAATACTACAGACAAAACCCTTTAGGCAGTTGAAAAAAGCCTTTTCATAAGTATTTAACAGCTCACAGAAACAGTTGAGCAGATTTTAGGAATATCCTGTGATATCTGTCTGTCTGTCTGTTTTCGACGTAGAACTTTGCACTGATGTGCGGCAGTTCAAGTCGCCACACTCCATGTACCACACAAAGCAAGAGAAGAAAGTAGGAGAAATGCATAATATAGACAGTAAACAGAGGTAAGAGACAAAGGAGTAGTAATAACGGAGAACAAAACAGTTTATTTGGAAATCACAAGTCACAAGGAGAGGATGCATCTGCGCCAGCCATTGAGAACGATTTTGAGCGATGTCACCAATTGTTTCCAACCATGGGTTTTTACCGTCACGAGGACTCCAACCAGGAAGTCTACATCTCCCTACGTGACTTAGACTAACTGTTGTGGATTTCATTGACTGGTGCCAAGTTTTCGTTTGACCGCCGCTAGCTCTTTTCCAGCCTGGCCCTATATCAGCTTACATTGCCCGTCGAGGAAGGCGATGACTAGGCATAAGTAAAACATGTCCCAACCATCTCAGTCGATGTAATTTCACAGTCTCATCGATTGATTTCCCCGCCTTACCTAGCACTCGACGCCTAACCTCAATATTGCTCACCTTATTATACCACTTCACGCGGGAGATAGAACGCAGACACCTATGATCAAAGACAGCTAATCTTTTCATGTCTTCTGCTCTCAATGGCCAGGTCTCACACCCATAAAGGAGGACGGAGCAGACTGTTGAGCAGTACACACGCCCTTTGGTCGATAGCCAGCCGGATATCGCGTCTACGCCAGAGACGGCGTAAACTGGCGTATGCGAACCTAGCCCTCTGTATTCGTGCTGAGATTTCGTCAGAGATCAACCCGTTGGCACTGGCTGATGCAACTTCCCAAATAAGTGAAGTGGTAAACACGCTCCGCTAGCCACTTCACTCCCTATTTCTAAGCTAGGAGTCAGTGTAGTCCAGTCCTGTAGCGTCATTTTTAATTTGGTGGGAGCGAATCGCATGCCAAACATTCTTAGATTGCAGCTCAAGGTGTTCAGTAGACTCTGCATTTTGTCAGAGTCCTCGCCTAGAAGGACTATATCGTCTGCATATTCTAAGTCAACGAGATTATTCCCTGGTAGCAAGTCAATCCCTGAGTCTCTGAATTGAGTTAGGATTAAGTCCATTAGTACATCTATGATGAAGTTGAATAGGAATGGGGATAATGGGCATCCTTGACGGACGCCACTAGTCGTCACCACTTCAGATGACAACTCGCCATAAGCCCTCACCTGGCTGCATGATATCAGTGATATCAGTGATCACAATGTGTTCAGCTTGAATCCTCACAAACAGACAATGAAATACGTTATACCTAATAAAGTAATTTCATGAACAGTTAACTCACATAAATTGCAACAATGATCAACGTAGCCAAAAAGCTGAAGAATATGAAGTAATGCAACCGTTAAAAAGTGAATTCTCATCATTTTCAGTGTGAATACTACTCTGAAGAGGCTACCTAGGATGACAACAAAGCTGTGACGAGCATCTTTTGCTTCATTCCTTCACGTTCCCAGTGGAAAATAGGGTTTCAAGCTAGGGGGCTTGAAGTTTCTGTAGCAGTGTTTATTTTTACAGGATGGGGTTGCTAGCCTCATGCCCAAACTTTCCTTTTTACCAGTTTTTTTAATTACTGGCTTAGAAAGGTAAAGGAGTGCGTCAGTGGCTTGGGATCGAACCCTGGACCATGTGCATGGTCATCGAGCGTCCTAATCGCTGTGCCACCGACCAGCATACCACCACTTAAAGTGTCATCCTTAGATTATTTTGAAACACCCTCACACACATCATACATTTAACAGACAGGATTACATTTATCAATAAAAAGTGATAAACTGTAGGCTTATGTTTTCACTTACTTCATTACGTAATTCTGAAGCACAACCTCCAAAATAAATACATTCGTAGATGCAATTTGGATTGAAATTCTGTGTGAATATAATTGAAAGAATATAAAGAGGGTGAAACTATACGACGTTACTGAAAGTAGACAGATGGTAGATAGTCACTTGGTATTATCGAATCACCATTTTTTCACAGCTAATGTGCATTTACTAAAATATGGGACTCACTGAATAGATATTTTCTAAAGTATGCAAGGTCCTTGTTTCCCTTCAAATACTAGTATATGTCTGTTACTGGACGGTGAGAAAAAATAACACAGTTCCATGCATTCATTCAAGTAATACGTGAAACTTTTGAAGATTTCTGTTATTCCATAAGAATGTATCTTAATTAGTGAAAGGTATGAAGAATAACACTCACCATCAACGGAAGGGATTTGAAAGAGGTCACTTCATTCACTTATCTAGGTAGGGAGCATTGTCTCAACTACAGGAGGAACGGACGAACGAGGATTTCAAATCGAGAATCGGGAAGGCGAGAAACACATTCATCAAACTGAAACCAATCTGGAAATCTTCGTCACTCCTCTGCATCAACAGCGAAATTCGGATTCTCGATACAAACGTCAAGTCAGTCACTTCTTCTATACGGATCAGAAACTTGGCAGTGGGTCATAAAGAATATTTCCAACAGCCTGTTGCAAACATTCATCAACAACTGTCTTCGCTCTATACTGAAGATCAGATGGCCGCCGGAAAGAATCACCAACAAGAATCTGTGGGAACAAACAAAACAAGAACCAATCACCCAACAAATATGCAGGAGAAAGTGGAGATGGGTTGGACACTCGCTGAGGAGGCCGTTGGGTGACATCGCGCGTCAGGCCATAGATCGAGTGGAACCCGAAATTGAAGCGACGAGTGGGACGTCAGTGCAAGGGTGACATGGAGGAGATCGTGTGAAGAGGAGTTGAAACAGTATGGATTAACATGGATGGAGGTGAAAAGTACAGCAGAAGAGAGAAGCAAGTGGAGGCGTGTAGCTGAAGCAGTGTGTTCCACTAGGAACCCAAGGGAACAATAATAATGATAATAGTAATGAAGAATAAGAATTTAGGTTTCTGTAAAATCCTGCAGGTTTTGAGTGTAATGGTGGTTTATTTATAACGTAGCCTAGTATTTAAGAAAACCTACTAAATTGGTTCTTCCTGTTGTACTAATTTATTCGAATATAGCGGAGTGAGTTTTGTCAACGTGCGGCATAAGGCCTTACCATTTCAATAGAATTGCGTCGACGCTACAAACAGCTTATTATGACTATAATAATACTGCTAACAGTAGCTGTGAAAACGCTATTCACATCATTCGCAATATATTCGAAATTAATATTAAAGTGTTTTGCTTTTAATTGATTTGACTTTCTGATCTCAGTCAGACTAAGTACATAGTTGATTAGCTGGGTCCTCAAAGAGCAAATCAATCGTCTGGTTTGTACATCACTTCCATCCGGCTGCAAACATGTACTGGTTGATGCGAACGGCTTCTAGCTAATCATATTAATCAGGCAGAATTTAGTTTTGTAGACCAATTTTTGAGTTCAAGTGAACATAAATCTCGTAGTTTTACATGATTCCAAACAGTGGTAAGATGAACTGCACAACAGATGTATTCCTATTGCATCAAATGGAACTAACTGTTACCATGGTTTCAATATCAAACCAACTACATCTACGATGAAAAAACAGCAAATAGACAGAGAAAATATGAATTCAGATAATCAACCTTGTGTCTTTCCCCCCTTATTTCTTCCTTGTCTTAGAAAAATTTCATATTTCAGACTAAATTGGGTTATACCGCCTTAAACAAAATCCACAATCTAAGTCAATAGTCTTTTGCCACAATTTGACTAACTTTCAAATGTTCACTTGAGGGGAGCACTGGACTACTGTTTCATCCTTGCTTATGACTCTACATGAGTACACAACCATGACCTCACTGGAGATAGAACACAGGATGAAGCTGCTCGAAGTCCTGTTTGAAAGTCGTGACCTGTGGGTCCCACCAATTTGGGTGCGAAGACAACTACTCGCTGATGACATTAGATGTCGGTGGCACTATAAATAACAAATTGGAAAGAGTTAGAAGTGAAGGGCCATCGGATTCAGTTCCAGTGACTAAATGGTCTACGAACTCACCTTGTAACTGAAGGGTCCTGAGTTCAACCCCTGAAAGACTCGTGGATGCAAACTACTGAAGAGTCCAAAATACGGTCGACATTACACAATCAGTCATACAACTTTTTGGTATATATATATATTATGTTCAAGTATTGGTTTGTAGGGATTTGGTTGATTGGTTACAGGATTTCATCATGAGCTGACATTGGTTAGAGAATCATTGGAAAACCTACAGGGAGTACTGGACAGCTGTCTCGTCCTAGTTTGGGACTCCTCGACAGTACGCACCCACCGCCAGGGTTCGGACCCAGGACCATGAATTCTAACTTCTGCCAATTCACAATATAGCGCAACCGCTAGCCAATGTCTTCGGCGAGTATTTGTCCTCACACCCGACCTACTGCACTCTACTGGTCACGAATTCCCACTGGAACTCCAGGTAACTATCTATCTGAATAGGGCCAGTAGCCAGTGAGCATCTCATTGACATTCAAGTATTGTATTTTTTGTCGAATAAATTTGTTGTTCTCACAAGCGTAGTCCTGTCTTATCTTCAAGCTTTTCCTTGAACTCAGGGTAGTAGAAGATAAGTAGGATGGAAAGCGGTCGCATGAGGTGTTCAGACGAGTTGACTACTGCATTTCGATATCAAATCCAAGTACCAGTAGAATTACTATCAGATATATATATTAAATTTGGCTACATTTTACCGGTCATATCTCACCTTGTTAAATTACAGTATCAATAAATGATAATCACCGAAAATCGCTCAATTTTTAATTGTTTGTACTCACTTGTTTATCTGGAATATTCAGAAATAATTCACACCATTTATCTCTGGTTAATTCTTCACATTGTTGTTGTTGTTTGAGAGAGTCGGATAACATGATGTCAGAATGAATGACCAGCGGAGACAATAATTTGCGTACATTCTTCATATGCCTTGTGTACACTAACCCTGAAAGATGTTTTGCAAGAACAAATGAAAGTTTCAATATTCTATTGAACATACAAACTTTGATCGAATATCAACAATTCACAGTGCAACGAGGTGGCGAGCTTCCGAGTGGAATGGTGACTACATTACAACACTGACTGAGAGAATTCAGTTGGCACCAAAGATAGGACTAGATACATTGCACACTTGTCACTGACTAGTGTCCAATAAAAAAACACAAAAACTTTTAAGTTTCTTAGTAATTACTTTTTGAATTAGTCTGTCTGTCTGGATTCAACGTAGAACTTCGCACCGAAGTGCAGCAGTTCGAGTTGCCACGTTCCAAAGAGCACACAAAGGTAGACAAGAAAATGAGTGAAGAGAATCAATAGAGTTTTGACAAGTATAAGAGTGAAACAGAATGAGTAATGGTAGAAGGGAATATGAAAGATTACAGAGACTGAATACATCTGCGTCATTGACAACGATTTTGAGCCATGTCGCCTATTGTCTCCAGCCACCATTGATTCTTAGAGTCCCGAGGGCCCCAACCCGGAAGTCTGCATCTCCCTACCTGACTCAGTTTAACTGTCAAGGATTTCATGGATTGATGAGACCATGTTTTTGTTTGGCAACCACTTAGTATTTTCCAACCCACACCTATATCAGCTAGTAATACCCGTCGCGGGTGGGAGGCGATGGTTAGGCATGCGCAGCACGTGACCTAGCCATCTCAATCTATGTAACTTTATAGCCTCGTCGATTGATTTTCCCTCTCTGCGCAACACTCTACGCCTAACGTCAACATTACTTACGTAATTATACCACCTAACGTGAGAAAGAGGTCGTAGACATCTATGATCAAAAACAGTCAACCTTTTCATGTCTTCAACTCGTATTGGCCATGTTTCAGAGCCATAGAGGAGAAGGACGGAGCGAACTGCTGAGCAGTACACACGTCCCTTCGTTGATAGCCGAATGTCACGCCTACGCCAGAGACGGTGTAAGTTAGCGAAAGCAGCTCGAGCTTATTGGATCTGTGCTGAGATTTCGTTACCAATCAATCCGTTGGTGCTGATACAACTTCCCAAATAGGTGAACTGGTCAACATGATCTATCACTTCAATCCCTATCACTAAGTTAGGAGTTGGTGTCGTCCAGTCCTGTAGCAGCATCTTACAGGATCACAATAGAGTATTATCTGACTCTCAGTTTCACTTAGCTAAAGGATATTATAATCTTCAACATGTTGTGATCATGTATTTGTTTACATCCCTTAAAAAACTTCTTTTAACACGTTACCACGGCAACTCAGATCAATTAAAGGACATTTAAATCTTGAGCAGCTAAACTAACCACTTGTAAAGTAGTAGTAAGCTATTCACAAATTCTATTGGAATGAAGAAGAAATATACTGGAACGAGATATTCTCTCATACATTGTGTTATATAAGATGAATAATTCATGAGGAGTATCAAAACAACCCAGTATTTGTTACCTAGTGTCGAACATTTATTTGAGGCAATGCCTCAAGTACAATATAGCTGCAATGGACTGCGTCAAAATTATACACTTAGGCAGTAAAAGCCTCAAATATTTATCAGATGCTCTAGTCCACTTACACTGTTTACACTCTCACTGAACAAATAACTAAACGAACTAAAATTAATATAAGCACGAAATTAAGTCACTGTCTTGGGGTGTAATTCCATTACAGAATTATTTTATTTTGATAAAACACAGTGATAAAGTATTATTTATTTAATATTACTGCTTTGTATTCGGAGTGAAATTTATGACTTTAGTAACACATCCACATTCCCCCCCTCTTCTCTGACGTCTTCTTTAACTGGTTTCACGTGTGCCCATAAGGTTCCATTTCCTCCACCTCATCCATGTCGCCTTCAGGCTCATTCCAAACTCTAGGGCTAGGCGCGTGATATCACTTAACCGTCTCTCAGGGTATGTCCAATAAATTTCCGTTTCCTCCCGCATATTTGTTGTGATAAAGATTCTTCAAATGTTCATTGCCAGAGTTCTTTGATGCTTTAGTGGGAAGCTGGAGAAGGAGGGTATTGATGCAAGTCTTTTCTTGATGCATGAGCGCACGCCAATTCTCTGAAACACTGACTATATGGCGTGTTTCATCAAATTAAAATGATTCCATTGTGAAACAAAATAACAAAACAACACAGTGACTTACAAGATCTAAATGTTTTCAGCATTAATTGTACTTTTATTGTGTCTACAATATCCATTGAGCTCATGGATTCATTTTGAAGAGAAGTTGACTGTTCTTCAATGACTGTTTCAACAACTATTTTTGATTCATCACGTGTATGTGATTTACTACGGAGGTGTCTTTTATTTTTCTGTTTTGAAAAGACCTCATCACATGTGTCAGTGACAATCTAAAAGTATGAAAAAAAGAATGCTTCGACTCAGTTAACTCCTCATTATAGTATCTGCAAATTTTTCCAATGTTTTAGCATTCACTAGTGGATGACAGTCAGTAGATGCGTGTCATCTCCTTAATTAACCTTGTTTATCAGAGTTTATTGTTTTTAGAAATATCACCTCTTCTTCGTGTTTGATGAATGTTTTAATGCATCAGTGTTAATAATTACTCATTGGACATTGAAATATGAACATAACCGCTTTGTTTAAATAGGTGAATTATGCAAAATAGCAACACTCGATGGATTTGGCAAAACTGCCAAGGGAGTGGAAAAGAGCCATCCTTTCTACAATCTTCAAGGGTGGGGATAGGCAAAATACCACTAGTTATAGACCGGTAGCTCTACTCCAAGTGGTATCAAAAGTACTGGAAATTATTATTGACGATCACATCAGGGAGTACCTCGATAGGATTAATATACTCCATCAAGCCCAACATGGTTTCAGGAAAGGCCGATCCTCTGTAACAAACCTACTATCAACTTGGGACGATTGGACATCACGCTAAGATATGAATGTTCCATTACATGTGGTCTTACTAGACTTTGCGATGGCATTTGACACAGTTCATCATAACTTTCTGCTACACAAAATAAGTCAGGCAGGTGTAGGCAAGCCAATTCTGTCATGGTGGAAGGACAACCTAGGTGAAAGGTGGTTCTGCACTTAGGTCAATTGAGTTCAGTCGTCCTGGCACAGCTCATCATCAGGGTTCTATCCTTGGGCCTATGATGATTTTGATTTTTATCAATGATCTACCATGCCGTCCAAGCTGGTTGGCTCTTCATTACACTGACGAGGTAAGGATTTGGAGAGCGAAAAAGTATTCGGAAGACTCAGATAGGCCACAGGCAGATCTAAAGCTTCTGGAAGACTGGGTGGTGGCCAATGGCATGCCTTTCAACCTGAAAAAGTGCAAAGTAGTGAAATCGCGCACCCGTAGGCTGTGGAATTCAAGTAACACCCTGTGCAATGAAAGCTTGTCCAGGACAACCTCAAGGCGTGACTTAGTTCTAGTTCTAACGGAAAAAATGGACACAAGCGTAAATTACACGGGGACGTAGCGAGGGCACATGCGGTCATACAATTGACACGTAGACAGTTAGGTGCACTCATTCCTGAAGTCTTTCTAAAGTTGTAAATACACGCGTTAGACCACACCTTGAAGTGCATAATATTATTGCATCTCCACTGCTTAGAAGAGACGCCGACCTCTCGGAAAGAGTCCAAAGACCGGCGACAGAGAGAGTGGTTGGTCTCCAAAATAAACTGTATGATGAAAGGCTGAAGAAATTGGGCCTATTCACACTTAGCTACCGTTGGCTTAGAGGGAATTTGATTACTGTCTACAAGATAACAAATGATCAGAACCACCCAAACAAAGATGTTCTGCCTTTGAGTAGGTATAGGCTTCCTCGTGGCTATGCCAGGAGGATAGCTCACCAGAGGGCAAGGACATAGGTATGCTCCCACTTGTTTTCACAGCGGGTTTGCCGTCCTTGGAATTCATCACCGGCAGATGTAGCTATGACACCGTCTGTGGACGCCTTTAAGCGAAGTCTGGACAACCATGCAGCGACACTAGGACTGCGTCCAAATGGCCTGTCCTCTTAAAATTCCATACACCATTCAGAGGTAGACAACTAAGTTCGTCGTTTTACTTCTTTACATTCTCTCCCGTCTTACTCTCCTGACAACTCTAACTACACTTATTATTATTACTGATATATATATATATATATATCAACTTCAAATTTAATCAGCTGACTGTTGTTACGTTTTCTTATTCTTTTTCTGTCTGTTAGTCTGAATAACTTCACTAATTATGTCTATTATTATTATTATTATTATCTCTTTTCTATTGACGACAATACCGAAGGACTAACTGGTGAAAGGATCAACTCCATTCACAGTAGTAACAGTCTCAACACACCGCATACTACAAACCACATATAATTAATCCCAGCACTACTCCTTTTAGAGTCAACCAAAGCTACGACAGTCGAGTGTTGGGACGAGCTACGCAGAAGTTTACCGAAGATCAGGAACCTATAACTCATAATCAAGAGGCGAGCACAAAGAAATTAAATTGGTTTATACTAGCTCGTAAAAACGATAGTGGATATTGGATACTGATGCGTTAAATGAACTGAACAAAGAATGGTGCCTCATTCGTTTAACTATATTTTTAAAAGAAATATCGCACTACTGAATTATTAGTAAAAACTTCGAATCTCGAGATACTAATAAGCTTATCTATTTGATTTTCTTTACATATGAATCATATATTCTTTACGTAATGTTGTATTGCACCTACTTCTCAGTAAGGTCGAATAAATTTGACATAATCGGCCATGTGTTGAGATGACAAGATCTAGTTAGATTGCAGGTGTGACAACGTTGTTAAATTGTTATATATTTATACAACTTGTGGACGGACGTCTTAACAGTACACATCTGTTGGGACATTGACACAAATAAAATCTTGAGCAGCTTGCTTGTAGAACAGTTGTTTCGTCCTAGTCTGCAACTGATTGGCAGTACGCACCCACTGGGGTTCGAACCTAGGAGGATCCATTTACAAGGCAAATTCGTAGACTATTCAGCCACTGGGACCCTACTCAATGGCCAACCCATGAATTCTAATTTGTACTAGTTCGTAATTTTAGCGTGACCACTAACCAATATCAACACTGTCAAGTATTTATCCTAACTTCTGACCTGATGAAACCTACTGGTAATGACTTCTTACAAAATCTCCAATCAACGTCACCCTACGGCCAGACACCAGTGAGCGTCAGATTAATTTTTAACAGTTTGTTTATAGGCACTTGACTTGTTTCAAGTTTGGTCACGGATTGGTATCAGTTAGAGGACCACTAAACACTGGCTGAAAGTACTGGACAGCCAGCTGTTTCACCGCCAATTTGAGACTCACCAGCAGTACGCACCCTCCGGGTACTGTCCAGTACTCCCTAGTTTTCAGTGGTTCTCTAAATGATATCAGTGCGTGGTCATACACTTTCCGAACTATAGAGAATTTCAAATTCTACCCTACTGCACATCTTGATAGAAATCTCAATAAAAGCAAAACAAAACTTTTCAATTCTTCAAGAATTTCAGCAGAAAACTCAAGAAAGACTTACCTCTGAACGAAATATCTTAAAAATAAATTCAACATCTTTTGAATGCGACAAAGATGATGACTTCAAATTGGCCGTTTTCATAATAGACGATTTAGTCTCCTCCTTATTTTCATCAGATTCATTGGCTAATTCTAAACTCTGATTACCAGCATTACCATCATCATTACCACTGATGTTGTTACTATTATTGTTAGATTCGTTTAATTTACTACGAAAATCAATAAGACTCCATAATATAGAGGTTGTCAGTTGCTGCTTGTCATTTGCTTTCATACATTTCATATCATCGGTTTTGATGACTAAAAATATAAATAAGAATTGAAACAAATTATTATGTTGTTATTGTATCCTTTAATTCCTAAAGAAACATAGAGCTTCGGCCGTGCGTCTCCATTGAGTTCGGTTCTATGCTAGAGTCTTCACCTGGTTCCCTGTCTGCCCACACATTTTCATCTCCTCTTCACATGACCTCCCCCAAGTCACCCTTGCATTGACGACCAACTCGCTGCTTCCCTTTCGGGTTCCACTCGAGCGATGGCTTGTCCAGTGATGTCACTTGATGGTATCCTCAGAGTATGGCCAATCCATCTCCATTTCTTCCTGCCTACTTGTTTCACAATCAGTTCCTGGTTGGTTCGCTCATTGCCAGAGATCTCTGTTGCTGATCTTTTCTGGTCGGCCATCTGATCTTGAGTGGTATTGAGCGAAGACAACTGTTAATGAAGGTCTGTAGTTTGTTCAAGGCGCTCTTTATGACGCGCTGGCCAAGTCTCTGATCCGTATAGTAGCACTGACTGACTTCACATTGGAGTTGAAAATCCGGATGTTATTTTTGATGCTGAGTAGTGTTGTTGACCTCCACATAGACTTGAGAGTAGTGAAAGCTTGTCTTGCTTTTCCGATTCTTGCTTTGATTTCCTCGTCAGTTCCGCCGGCCTGTAGTTGAAACGATGCTTCCCAGGTAGGTAAAAGAGGTTGTTTCTTTCAGGTTCCTCGTATTTATGCTGATTGCTGTCTGTTGTTGTTGCTGCTGTTGGTGGTGTTGGCCAGGAATCTTCATCTTCTCTGTTTTCTCTATGTTCACTGAAGTCCTATCTTTGATGCTTCTTCTGCCAACTTGTTGCTTTTCGCTTGCATGTCTACCAGTTTATGGGAAATCAGACATATATCATCATCGGCGAAGTCCAGATCCTTCAAGTTTTTTGTGTGAGTCCATTTTATGCCTGTTTCCTCATTGCCCGCTGTTTTTCGCATTATCCAGTCTACTGCTATCTATCTACTATCTTTAGAAAAATTCCCAGAAAGATTAACAGTTTGATTGTGTTATGGAATAACTGTTCAGTAAAAATCCCTTCTGAACGGTCTATGTGCAACATCTTTATTTATTTTTGATTGCACACTAGTCAGTTACTGACTAGTACACTATTTGAGCAAGTATTTGTAAGCACTTTAGTCTACAGTTGAACTAGTATTTACCTGCTAACCTCTATAGCATTATTCAGCAACTGATAATATAATGATGCATTTCTCAATTCCAGTTCATTTGATACCACTTTCCCGGAAAATTATTACTATTTTTATTGATGCCTTGGGTTCCTAGTGGAACATAGGGCACTGCACGCCTCCACTTGTTTCTATCTTGTGCTGTACTTTTCACTTGCATCCATGTTAATCCATACTGTTTCAACTCCTCTTCTTACGATCACCTTCATGTCACCCTTGCACTGACGTCCCACTCGCCGCTTCCATTTCGAGTTCCACTCGAGGGTCTGACGCGTGATGTCACCCAGCGGCCTCCTCAGCAAGTGTCCAATCCATCTCTTGTTTCTCCTGCATATTTGTTGGACGATTGGTTCTTGTTTTCTTTGTTCCCATAGTTTCTTGTTGGTTCTTGTTCTTTCCGGCCATCTGATCTTCAGTGTGGAGCGAAGACAGTTGTTGATAAAGGTCTGCAACCTGTTGAAAATACTCACTCTTTGTGACCCGTCAAGTTTCTGATCCGTATAGAAGAACTGACTGAATTGACGTTTGTTTGTATTGAAAATCCGAATTTTGTTGTTGATGCTGAGTTGAGTGACGAAGATTTCCAGATTGGTTTTAGGTTGATGAATGTGTTTCTCGCCTTTCCGATTGTCGATTTGACATCCTCGTCCGTTCCTGCTGTAGTTGAGACAATGCTCCGTAGATAAGTGAATGAAATAACCTCTCTCAAATCCCTCCCGGAAAATACCTGCAGTTTACTACTGTTGGACTAAAGTGAAGTGCGCCAATCCAATCGAATGACTATTCGAAGGCGTTATTTGAGTGGAAAATAATTTTTACAGAAAATAAATTACGTAATATAAAATAATTATGCAACGAAAGAAGACGGTGGCCAGTCAACAGGTCGTTTATTGAGAAATTCAAGAGATATCTATAGATTTTTATGTACATTATTGGTGCATCGGTAGCATAGTGGTTAGGACGCTCGCTGACCATGCACATGGTCCGGGGTTCGATCCCCAGCCAACGCACTCCTTTACCCCGCTAAGCCAGAAATAATGCTGGTGAAGAGGAAAGGTTGGGCATGAGGCTAGCAACCCCATCCTGTAAAATAAACACTGCTACAGAAAATTCAAGCCACTAACTTGAAGCCCTATGTTCCACTGGGGAACGTGAAGGAAAAAAATGTTATTCTGTCATCTCTTTATTGCCGTTTCTTAGACAGTCCGGTGATATATCTGCTAATCGTATCCGCTCACGCCAAGTCTGCTGTGATTGGTTGTTGTGTTTCTCACGGTTAGGCTTCGTTCTTGCATCTTCGCATGACCAAGAGTTGGGACGTAAACACTGAAGTAAATTGCTCTCTACCAATTTTGGCTAGCAGACAGCTCTCACCACAATTATACACAGTGACAATCCCGTATATGTTCCAGAAATCTCTTCAAGTTCATCAATGGAGTTCTAAGTATTAGTTGAAACCGATTTGTGTACATCTATACATCGAACAGACTGTATACTGTATATCAATTTGTGACCAATTTGTCGTTCATATTAAACACCCACAGTATCTTTATGAGTAATTCGTACACACGTTACCCCAGCGGATCAGCAAAATCAGAAAAGTGATTTTGCCGTAACTCTGCCAGCTATTCTAGCTTTCGTTGGATGATCCGTCTTTCCTAAAAGCCTATTATTCAAGCTGTGTTGAAATACAAGATGAGAATGATATTTGTACAATAAAACTTCGATGACTGATTGTTTAAGGCCATCTTTTTGATTGTTAACCTGGATCGCTATACTTTAGTCTTGCCAGTGTATCCCGTTATACCATCGGTCCGATGAGCTTTGAACAGTTAAAATGACTACCACTTTTTGTTGTTTGATATGACTAGGTGAGTGTCAAACAGTCAGACGATAACTTCGCAACTTGTTATATCACGGTAACACTACACTACTATGATATATTATGGCCGATTAAGTTAGAATTTTGAAAACTAGAGAAATGTTTTGTTATGACATGATAAGGTGACGATAACAAGACAAAATCTCATTACATTAAAAAGTAACTTACCGCCTAAATCATTTGGAGATGGATTTAAACATGCATTAGGCTTTAAACCATTATCTAAGCATACAAGAAAATCATAAACAGCCTTCAACCCTCCTTGTAATCCAACAGGTGGGTAAGCAATACCGTCTAGTCCAATGAAGATAATCCGGTATTCATGCGATCCACCTAGTAGTGAAGTAAAGAAAGTTGGAGAGTAACGTGAATGTGATTTAATTATTCTTTTGTGACTTCTGTTTTTATCTGAGCTACAATGAAAAGTTGACTGTAATAAGGTCAGCTTATAGAAAACACTTTCCCATGAGAAAAAAGAATATTTGCGAAACCTCTCTGTATTTAACATGATGTCGTCATTTATGAATGTTAACGAATATTTGAAGGGATAATATATATATATATATATATATATATATATGACGATGCGTCTGTGGCACAGAGGTAGAATGGTCGCCATTGACGCTTGTGATCTGGGATTCAATCCCCAGTCACTGACGCACTCCTTTAACTCTCTAAGCCAGTAATAAGACTGGTAAACAGGGAAGGTTGGGCATGAGGGCAGCACCCTGTCGCGTAGAAAGAAACACTCCTACTACTGAAACTTAAAACCTCTCTCGCCTGAAGCCCTATTTTCCACTGGGAACGTAAAGGAATAAAATGTATATATATATACATATATATATGATGACTGAGGTAAGTCGGTCCGAATAGCCCACGCATAATGTCTATGACTGTCGCTTTGGATGATTCAAGTCTAAATTTCGGAGAAAACATCAGTCCTACCATAACTGTAGACCAACCAAGGTGACGCGTGTCAATTAAAATAGATTGCAACAACTGTGAAAAACACTGCGTTGGCGAAAATGGATGTCTTTTTCATCTTCGCATCCAAGAAAACGAACTAGCATTTAGCAGACGTGACATACATTCGCTCATATCACATATATTTGTCAGAAGCAACTATGCTAGCCTTAGAGTGGTCGAACACCTCGTCACAATTCCTGGTAACTGCAAGCGAACAAGCTGTGGCCAGTAAATTTTGTGATGGTCTGTTAAATTGTTCAACGAGGTCAGCAGGCTCAAGGTTGCTGGGGTGACCTCTAGTTGCGCACACACAGAAATGTCCAAGTATCAGCCATGATTCAGTGGGAGGAGCTCAGCGGTTGTGTGTAACGGCCTAAAGTCAAGGATACCCAGCCTCTGAACATGAGCTTATCGTTTATGCAGTTTCACCCCAAGAGGGATTTTTTGATCATTGCCTGGCAGAGTTGAAGCATTTAGGCAATTGGTAACTCGTTTGGGGATCCAAGGCTCATGCCTACGAACCCACTGGAATATTGTACATGGAGGAAGCCACTGGAACCACACTATTCTCACCAGCTCTGTTGCAGGAGTAACAAATTCACTCGGGTAGTGGTTATTTGCGACCTACAAGGTGTGGTGCATTTGTGAGACATTTTCGCAAAGGTTATAATGATGTGCTGACTTAGGCTGCCAATGTTCTGCCTGAGAAGGAACTTGTGAGAAAGTTGAGAGCTAATATTGCAGGGTGGGATACCATCAACCACTCTAAGGTAGAAATTAGAGGATTCCTGGCATTGGGAGTTCTCTTCCATAACCAAGTCTCATTCTAAGATGTTGTTCGCTCAAAGAATGTGAGACATAAACGGCAAATACGCCACAATATATGTAAACATATTTCCCCTTCTGTTTGAAGCTTGTTCGAAAAATTATCTTAAAACTCTTACAATGGATTAAAACAACTGTGAACAACATTAAATTGGAAAAGGTTAAGTCTTTTTTTTATCTTCTCATCCAAAAACACAAACTAGCACTGAGAGATGACACGATGTACATTCGCTCATATCAATCAGTAGATATGGAAAACTATAGGAGTCGACTCTGTTCTCCAATCAATAAAATTGAATTTGACAGCCGATAGAGAATAAGTCATAGGATCAAAAGGTCAAATATGAAGTTAATGAGGAAAGAAATACTAATTCATGTGAATATGAAAAAAAGGAAATTTCTCAAAATCAGAGTCATCATAAATGATGGTTTCTACTCATTTATAACTAGAAAACTTCATTTCTTCTCTACGTTAACAATGAAGATGTTTTCTAGAAGAAAATTGAATTAAGAAACCACCTAGAGTAGAGGACTAGACGCAAAAACACCAAAACAGATATATATGTTTGTATCAGCCGCCAAGTGAACAGTTTCTGTGTGGTTTAATTTCACCTTCGACAGCGTCGATCGAGAGGTGATTTGGCAACTACTTCGCTACTACGGAGTGCCACCGACAATTATACATCTCATCCAACAGTTGTATGACAATGCTGCATGCCAAGTAATCCACAATGGGAAACTTACGGAACCCTTCAAAGTGAGGACAGGAGTAAGACAGGCTGGCTGCCTACTATCGCCAATGATTTTCCTGATTGCAGTAGATTGAATAATGCGACAAACAGCGGGCAATGAGGAAACAGGCATAAAATGGACTCACACAAAAAACTTGAAGGATCTGGACTTCGCCTATGATATATGTCTGATTTCCCACAAACTAGAAGATATGCAAGTGAAAAGTAACAAGTTGTCAGAAGAAGCATCAAAGATAGGACTTCAGTGAACATAGGGAAAACAGATGTGGTGATGAAGATTCCTGAACAACAACAACAGACAACAATCAGCATAAATGGAAGGAACCTGAAAGAAACAACCTCTCTTACCTACCTACGTAGGAAGCATCGTTTCAACTACAGGCGGACGGAACTGACGAAGATATCAAAGCAAGGACGGAGAAGAAAGGCAAGCTTTCACTACTCTCAAGTCTATGTGGAGGTCAACAGCACTCAGCGTCAAAAATAAGATCAGGATTTTCAACTCCAATGTGAAGTCAGTGCTATTATACGGATCAGAGACTTGCACTGCACGTCATAAAGAGCATCTCAAACAAAATACAGACCTTCATTAACAGTTACCTCCGCTCAATACTCAAGATCAGATGGCCAACCAGAAAAGATCAGCAACAGGAATCTCTGGTAATGAGCGAACCAACCCACCAGGAACCGATTGTGAAACAAGTAGGCAGGAAAAAATGGAGATGGGTTTGCCATACTCTGAGGAAACAATGCATCAAGTGACATCACCAGACAAGCCATTGCTCGAGTGGAACCGGAAAGGGAAGCGGCGAGTTGGTCGTTAGTGCAAGGGTCACTTGAAGGAGGTCATGTGAAGAGGAGATTAAAGCATGTGGGCAGACTTGGAGCCAGGTGAAGACTCTAGCAGAGAACCGAACGCAATGGAGATGTGCGGCTGAAGCCTTATGTTCCTCTAGGAATTAAAAGAAATAATAATGATAATAATTTGGATAAACATATACAAGAAATGCACTCACCACCTATTTTTCTAGGCTACTTACCTCGATGTAGGTGAACATATTCAATTTTATTCACTGATATTGTCACAACATCGTACTGGATAGTGCTGAAAATGTTAAATGAGAAAATGTTCAGTATAGTAAAAAGTAGGAGACAATTTGGCTTTTCATAGGAGTCGATAATATGCGATAGTAGTAGGCAATCTGTAGAGCAGTTTCACATCATATATTCAGAAGTTCAACCACGCGCTTATACTGTTTCGTCAGAAAATGTGAGTATTCTCGCATCTTTCAAATGATGTGTGTGGCTTGGCAAGCCAACCTATCAGACCAAAAGCCCCCAAGGAAAGCACAAAGAAAATCGCCTTACCATATATATATATATATATATATATATATATATATATATATATATATATATAGGACATCTCAGAAATCACTACAAGACTCTTCAAACCTTTAGGGATTGACGTCGTACACAAACCAACAAAGTCACTTCACTCAATTCTATGTCAACCAAAAGACTCAACAGCGAAAGAAGACAAAACCAACATCATCTACAAAATAAATTGTATCAACTGCGAAAACACTACATTGGCCAAAGTGGACGTCCCCTTCGTCTTCGTATCCACGAACATAAGCTAGCCGTCAAAAGACATGATACACACTCCCTCATATCACTGCATACAGACAACCACGGACATCAATTCGACCGGGACAACGTTCAAATATTGGACAGAGGAAACAACAAGAATGCTAGAGAATTTTTAGAAGCTTGGCATTCCAGTGAATCGTCAATCAATAGACACATCGAGATAGACAAAATTTATCAACCAATAAGAAAGAAACCTGACACACAAAGGGTCAAAGTTCAAGTCAAAGAAACAATCAGTTCCAATACAAGTAACCTAGAAGGTGTGAAAACACACAAAATCAATCAATCACGTCCATGGTCACCAGGAGAGATGATTAATAAACTCGTGGAGAAATCTGAAAGCTCACTTCAAATTGAAGTATGCGCTGAAGGTGTCACCTAGTAGGGTGATGAAAGCTTCGCAAATTAACTATCCAGAGGGCACAACCACATCGAAAGTACAATTGAACATGAAATAAAGACTCTGAAGGATATTTTATCTAAGAATGGATATCCTGAGTCCATCAATAAAAAAATACTCTTAAGAAATGAGCCCCAGTAAAACTATCCATACAGTTCCGAAGAAATCTGTTTATATCAGTTTGCCGTTCAAAGGAGATGATGGACAAGAAGTATTCAAACAAAGACTCGATAAAGCGATCAAGAGAACTTATTATGCTGCAAAACTCGTTTTTCTTAACATCACCATGCGGGTGCTTAAGCAATTTGGGAAAGACTAGTCGCCAATCCTTGACATTTGAAAGTGCGTATATCACTTTGAGTATTTTCATGGAAGCAAATACATAGGTCGTACGGAAAGGCGATTATCTATTCGCTTGATGGAGCATTTGCCAAGGTGGTTGAAAACAGCTGAATGCAGAGTGCCAAAAACCTTTTTATAACAAAACATCTTGTGGAATATGGACATGATATTGACGCTGTCAAGTCATTCACTATTGTCAGTAGACAAAGAAACGGGAAGATGCTTGCAGTTGCGCAAGCTTTTGCAATTCGAGTTTATAAGCCAGGTCTCTGTATTCAAAAGGAGATGGTCATCCCTCCGAATCTACCATGGTAATGTATTTTACTTTTATGATTACTAAACGGAAAGTAGCTGAACTAAAGATTGGTTTTTCAGTAAATTCTTCTTTTTTCTCTCTTCAAATTTCAAATCTATGCATCCACCTTATTCAATTCCAAATGCATACGGCGAAAGTAAAGAGTTTTCATTGACAAAACATCATCTATAAAATTAATTCTCTTGATACGGTTCGTCAAACCAACAGGGAGAAGACATTGGTTAGTGGTCGCGCTATGTTATGAATTGGCAGAAGTTAGAATTCATGGGCTGACCACTGTATTGGGTCTAAGTGGCTGAATGGTATGCGACCTAGCCCACCTTGTAACCAGAAGGTCCTGGGTTCCAACTCTGGTGGTGGATGTGTACTGCTGAAGAATCCAAGGCTAGGACGAAACAGCTGTCCAATACTCCCAGCTTGTTTTCCAATGCTTCTCTAACCGATATCAGCTCACGATGAAATTCTGTAACCAACAGGAGGATATTTAATAGGATAAAGTGACGTCATTACACTTCATTGGTTCTTTTCAGATGCATACAACCATGAATAATTTAAGTATCCATCTAAAAACATATTCAAATGCTGTAGTTATTGATTATAAAGTTGATGGATATTAATAATGCGTGATTAAGCAGCATAATAGGAAGGAATAGGAGCCATTGTTAAGCTCGTATAGAAATAATTAGTAACAACAATAATTATTATTATTCAAATATATCTCCTATTTACCGGATCTATTTAATAAGCAACATATTAATGTAGGTTTCACTATGGAATATGAACAAAATGGAAACTTTCATTTTCTGGATCTCAAACCTCTACGAACTACGGATGGAATTGTATACAAAGCTGTATTTATTATACAGAATTTTTGAATGGTAGGCTATCTCTGAATTCCAATAACCTTTATCCAGTAAGCTGCAAGAAAGGTCTAGTGAAGACGTTTCTCCAATGCATTGAATAACTCTATTCCAAAGAAAATCTTGTCCATGAGCTCGGTATTATTGAAAAGTGTTTACGAGGCAACGGATATCTTCAAAAATTCATTGATAAACACAAAAGGAAAGAAGAGAATAGAAATTAGTCTTCCTAAGTCTTGAATTCAAAGTTGTGATGCATCTGGAACAATCTTTTTTTCCTTCACGTTCCCAGTGGAACATAGGCCTTCAAGCTAGATGCTTGAAGTTTCTATAGCAGTGTTTATTTTTACAGAATGGGGTTGTTAGCCCCATGCCCGACCTTCCCTCTTTACCAGCTTTATTACTGGCTTAGCGAGGTAAAGGAGTGCATCGGACGGGGACGCACTGGAGTAATTAAATACAGAATAAATGATGGTCTGAAGCGAAATGATCCAGATGTCAGGCTAGTCACAATTTATCGAATAAAATGATCCCTGACACAGTCTAAGGTTGATAAGCCCCCCCTCCTCTTTCATCTTTCACCGATTGCATATAACGATTTACATGCACGTACCAAAGCACATACACTGGATGAAAAGATAGAGGGATTTGTGACCACATATCTGAGAATATTCTAAGAAATTTGCGTCTCTGAAAGATTCATAATTCCTTAATAGTGTTAATGCTAGTCATCGGTTAGACATCAGTAACGAAATCCATGCATTAAAATTCCTTAAGGTGATTAAAATTCAAGATGGCCCCAGGTTGCTGAAAATCAATAGAAGTGATTGTGATTGAACGACTAAAACCAAATTTATGCATCCAAATGGCAACCGTTAATTATTATTATTGTGTCCTTTAATTCCTAGAGGAACATAGGGCTTCAGCCGTGCGTCTCCATTGCGTTCGGTTCTCTGCTAGAGTCTTCACCTGGCTCCAAGTCTGCCCACATGCTTTCATCTCCTCTTCACAGGACCTTCTCCAAGTCACCCTTGCACTGATGACCAACTCGCCGCTTCCCTTTCGGGTTCCACTCGAGCAATGTCTTGTCTAGTGATGTCACTTGATGGTTTGGTTACCTCAGAGTATGACCAATCCATCTCCATTTCTTCCTGCCTATTTGTTTTGACAATCGGTTCCTGGTTGGTTCGCTCATTGCCAGAGATCCCTGTTGCTGATCTTTTCTGGCCGGTCATCTGATCTTGAGTACTGAGCGAAGACAACTGTTAATGAGAATCTGCAGTTTGTTTGAGATGCTCTTTATGACGCGCTGGCCAAGTCTCTGATCCATCCGTATAGTAGCACTGACTGACTTCGCATTGGAGTTGCAATTCCGGATGTTATTTTTGATGCTGAGAGTTGTTGACCTCCACACAGACTTGAGAGTAGTGAAAGCTTGTCTTGCTTTTCCGATCCTTGCTTTGATATCCTTGTCAGTTCCGTCCACCTGTAGTTGAAACGATGCTTCCCAGGTAGGTAAAAGAGGTTGTTTCTTTCAGGTTCCTCCCATTCATGCTGATTGTTGTCTGTTGTGGTTGTTGGTGTTTTTGGTGTTGCCCAGGAATCTTCATCACCTGCTTCTTTTTTTTCTATGTTCACCTGAAGGAAGTCCTATCTTTGATGCTTCTTCTGACAACTTGTTGCTTTTCGCTTGCATATCTTCTAGTTTGTGGGAAATCAGACATATATCATAGGCGAAGTCCAGATCCTCCAAGTTCCTTGTGTGAGTCCATTTTATGCTTGTTTCCTCATTGCCCGCTGTTGGTTGCATTATTCAATCTACTGCAATCAGGAAAATCATTGGCGATAACAGGCAGCCTTGTCTTACTCCCGTCTTCACTTCAAAGTATTCCGTAAGTTTCCCGTTTTGGATTACTTGGCATGCAGCATTGTCGTACAGCTGTTGGATGAGATGTATAATTGTCGGTGGCACCCCGTAGTAGCGAAGTAGTTTCCAAATCACCTCTCGATCGACGCTGTCAAAAGCCTTTTCAAAGTCGATGAGGTTGAGATAGAGAGGTGACTGCCATTCCAAGCTTTGTTCAATGATGATCCGTAATGTGTCGATCTGATCAATACATGACTTGTTTTTCCTGAATCCAGCCTGTTCCGGTCGAAGTTTTTCATTTAGGGCATGCCTTACATTGGCATATATACTTACTATACGTTGTTTAATTGTAATGTAATTTCCTACCCTTAATTCTGTACCGAATTCTCACCTCTGTACAACGAACTAAACTACTTGACCTTTACATAAGTAAAAATGGCTGATTTCACTTCTTTTTTTCAATTCGTTAAATCCGTCCGTAATTCTAAAATACTTCTCAAGTATTTCTATACACACGCACACACACACACACTAACTAGCTTAAGAACAGCTTTTATTCCCCTCTTATTATGCTACTTAATCACGCAATATTAATATCCATCAACTTTATGATCAATAAAATAATTGCAGTATTTGAGTATAGCTAAAATATTCATTCAGAAATTTC